ACCCGTCACCCACCTTAATCCAGGGCTAAGATTCAGATCTTGTGAAGGAGTAGCTGTTATCATCAGATGGCAAGAAGTTTGTTGGGGTGCCATGGTGGTGGAATTGGAACTCTAGGCAGCTGCACATAGGATTGGGTATACTGGAAAGCCATCATCTGTGGTGCTGGGAGAAACCATCTTCTAGGGAGGTGCTGTACTTCTTGCTAGGAAGCTATCCACAGGCTGGTATGCCAGAAAGCTTCCCAAAGGGAGGTTTTGTATTGGTGGTGTCTTTTGATAAGCAGTTTTGGGATTGTACCATACCAGGGACCTTGCTGGAAGCCACCCATGGGGGTGGTCCTGTTGAGCTAAGTATATACGGTGCACTGCTCTAGGACTGGAAAGAAATGGAGAGAGAGAGAGAGAGAGAGAGAGAGAGAGAGAGAGAGAGAGAGAGAGAGAAAACTAAAAAGGAAAGCTCTTTTTTTTTCTAGTGCCTATAACCCTCTACTAACAAAGGTTACCATCATGCCACCTATCAAAAGAGAAACATTCATTATAAGCATGACAATGAAGAATGGATTTTAGATGAGAGACAGTAAATTGATAAGTGTAGCTGATTGCTACACCACTTTTTAGCGCAATTTATGATTGGTGACCTCTTCTTTATGATTTTGCCTTTGTCAATAGAGTTTCCATACATTTTCTGCTTCCTTTCCATTTGTTCTGCATCTCCCAATCTCAGACTTAGAATAAATAGCCCCATATTTACTTGTGATGTTTATAGCCTAATCCCAATCCAAATAGCCATTACTGAAATTAAGACTCTTAAATCCCCAAAGCTAGAATTCACTAGTGAAGCCTGGATTTTTACTTTTCTCTTTGCTAGGTCCTATCAAAGGTTACTGATTTCACTGTTACTTTTCTTGCTTATGTCTGTACCTAGGTGTTTTTCTTTATTGTGTTTTTTTGAGCACTCATTCTTGCTGAATTTTTTTTAAATAGACTTACTTCCTAGAATACCGATTATCATTTGTCATCTATACTAATAAAAGGGTAATATGCTAATTAGACCAGATAGACCAGATGTCTTCTGGACGTCCTTCCAGACAAAGCCATGGTGGCGGGGGCTGAGGCAGAAGCGGTTAGGGGTGATCAGGTGGTTAGAGGCAGTTATAGGCGGTTAGGGGTGCTTAGGCGGTTAGGCAGGCAGAGGCAGTTAGGGATGATCAGGCAGGCAGGCAGAGGGGTTAGGGTGATCAGGCAGGCAGGCAGGTGAGCAGTTAGGAGCCAGAGGTCCCAGATTGCGAGAGGGATGTCCAACTGCTGGCTTAGGCCCAATCCCTGTGGGCCTACTCCCCGCCCCATGCACAAATTTCGTGCACTGGGTCTCTAGTCTTATATAGTGGGATTTGCTGATTCTCTCAACTGTTCATTACTCTGTAGCTTGGTGTGTTCCAAAAGGCTTGAACAACCAAGTGGTTCTCAGTCTTCCCCATGCAGACTGAGGAATGCCAGCTCTATAGACCTTTATATATTAACTTCTCAGAGTCAGTAGTAGAAGATATTAGCCTTTGACAACAAATTCTTGTGTCTTTCCATAATTTATCACAATAAGAGTATTCTTAGAATGGATTTTGAGGAAGTGATTGCTTTAAATTTCCTTGTAAATAATTTGAATTGCATTTAATGCTGCTACAATTGTTATTGCACTTGCTTGAAATTCTTAAATGTTAAAATAATAAGAATATTGGATTTGAGTTTTGACATGTAAAAGTCAACACTTAGCTGTTATTATGTTGCTAGGTAATTTCTCATATCAGTATTTTGTAAAATATTAGTATTTGATTATAGCTATGGATAGGAATAATATAAAGTATTTAGATACAATAAATGAAACAATGACATTTCTTTGAGATAAGAGAACAAAATGGGTTATTTCCTAAGTACTTTGCTAATTTTGTTGTTTTAGATAAGTAAAGATCAAAGTTTTTCAGAAGTAGAGTTTCCAGTACCTGATAAAGCAGTCACTTTAAACATTGCACAAGTAGTAAAGCATGTGCAAAAACTTGAAGCACTGAAAAATCGGCTTAAAGGAAGATCTAAACAAACTTCGAAAGTCATGCTATTTAAGCCCAAGTAAGTAAAATATGAGTTAATAGAATTGAAAACAAGAGTGGGTATGTAATTAATAATGAATGTAAGATAAGGTTTTAGATATACTATGTGTAGAGCTGCTAAGTTAAATCAGAAGGTCTAGTCAGTTTGTACCTATTTGAAAATTTTAATAGTTTGAATTGTTACTATTTAATACATAGACTCTAGCCATATGTGGCTAATAAAGTTAAAATTCAATTTAATTAAAAAACCAATTTCTTAGTCATACTAGCTATATTTCAATTACTCTTTTTAGTATGATTGGGTGGGAAACTAAAGTATAATTAAATATTTTATTATTCATAAACATCATTATTTAAAATTGCATAGGAACAGGGTATGTTCCAATAAGTAGATTCCTACTTTTTAGTTGAGAAAACCCCCTTTTCCCCCCTGGTTGGTGGAAGATTAAAATGAATTGATTACAGTGATACTCACATTGTCTGTTGATGCTGATTTTTGATATTTGAGGGTTAGCTGTCTTGGAATAAATAGATGAATAAATCATCATTATAGAATATCTTCAGTGATTTTTTTTTTCACCTCACATAGTGTGTGTGTGTGTGTGTGTGTGTGTGTGTGTGTGTGTGTGTGTGTGGTGAGAAAACTTCAGACCCACTTTCTTAGCAAATTTCAAGTATACAATAGCAATATTAACTGTAAATATCATTATGTACATAAGATCTCTAGGATTTACTCAACTTATAACTGAAAGTTTGTACCTTTTGACCAACATCTCCGAATTTCCCCAATGCCCTAACCCTTGGAAACCACCATTGTACTCTCTGGTTCTAAGAGTTTGACTTTTTTATGTTTCACATATAAGTGAGATCATTTGTCTTTCTCTGTCTGGCTTATTTCACTTAGCATAACGTCCATGGGGATTATCCATGTTGTGACAAATAACAGCATTTCCTTTTGTTTATGGCTGAATAAATTTCATTGTATATATTTGCCACAATTTCCTTATCCATTGATTGTAAGTTAGGTTGTTTCCATATCTTGGCAGTTTTAATATTGCAGTAAACAAGGGAGAACAAATATCTCTTTGAAAATAGATTTCTTCTTTTTTTGGGGGTGGGGTGGGGGGATATTTACTTGGAAATGGGATTGCTGGATCTTATGGTGGTAGTTCTTTTTTTTTTAATTCTTTATTAGTTAAGCTATTACAAATGTGTCCTCAACCCCCCATTAAAGCCCCGTCCTCCCTCCCCCACTCATGCTCTCATCCCCCTGTTGTCCATGTCCATTTGGCTTATAAGCATGCATACAAGTCCTTTGGTTGATCTCTTCCCCTTGCCCCCTCCTTCCCCTACTTTCCCTCTGGGGATTAATAGTCTGATCACTGTTTCTCTGTCTTTGGATCTATCCCTGTTCATCAGTCTATGTTTTTCTCTATATTCCACAAATGAGTGAAATCATGAGGTATTTATTTTTCTCTGACTGGCTTATTTCACTTAGCATAATGCTCTCCAGTTACATCCATGCTGTTGCAAAAGGCAAGAGTTCCTTCTTTTTTACCGCAGCGTAGTATTTAATTGTGTAGATGTACCACGGTTTTTTAATCCACTCATCTGCTGATGGGCACTTAGGTTGATTCCAAATCTTAGCTATGGTGAATTGTGCTGCTATGAACATAGGAGTGCATATATCCTTTCTGATTGGTGTTTCTAGTTTCTTGGGATATATTCCTAGAAGTGGGATTACTGGGTCAAATGTGAGTTCCATTTTTAGTTTTTTGAGGAAGCTACATACGGTTCTCCAGAGTGGCTGCACCAGTCTGCATTCCCACCAGCAGTGCAGAAGGGTTCCTTTATCTCCACATCCTCTCCTGCACTTGTCGTTTGTTGATTTGTTGATGATAGCCATTCTGACAGGTGTGAGATGATACCACATTGTCGTTTTGATTTGCATCTCTCATATAATTAGTGACTTTGAGCATGTTTTCA